TTTTTTTTAATTTTTTTTTTTTAATGTTTATTTATTTTTGAGATGGAGACAGAGCATGAGCAGGGGAGGGTCAGAGAGAGAGAGAGGGAGACACAGAATCTGAAGCAGGCTCCAGGCTCTGAGCCGTCAGCCCAGAGCCCGACGTGAGGCTCGAACTCACGGACCGTGAGATCATGACCTGAGCCGAAGTCGGGCGCTACACCGACTGAGCCACCCAGGCGCCCCTTTCCTTTGTCTTTTGAGAGATGACTTGATACACACTCTCCCGAACGTCCTTTGCTATACAGACACCGTGGGGGACCCATTGTTGGTGAGTAAAGGGGATCCCCTAGAGGTGGGATTAGCTGTGGCCTCCAGCAGGGATGTGTCTCTGGGAACGGGGACCAGCTTTCCACAGTGTGATCAGACACCTATGATGTGCATCACCTTAGCAGACCCTGTTTGAACTTCCTCTCGTTAGAGGAAAGACATCCTGTATAGAGTTGGGAAGCTTTTAAGTAAAGTTCTTTTGGTGACAAAGAGCAGGCAGGAAGTTGTCTGAAGATAAAACTCAGCATAATGCGAGCGCCGAGAAAATCGTCCTTTCAGACCGCACCATCTGGCACGAGGTGGCTTGTGGGTAAAACAAGATTAACACTTGTTTTAGTCGTGAGTAGTTGAGGTGTGGAGTTAAAACACGGAACTGATTTTACAAGCTGGTCACCTGCAGGCTCTGATTATCTGCAAAAAAATGTTGGAGCACCTTATTCAGACCAAAACTGGCTGTTGTTAGGGGTGAGTTTTGGAAAAAGGGAGGTCAGATGAGGTCACTAAACATGATGTAGGAGCCTAGGAGGAAAATAATACAAAAATGTTTCTTACAACATTCTTATCAGAAGTATTCAGGCTAAAATTCTTGATCGTTTTTCCATTTCTTGTATGAAATGCTTTTGCTGAGACCTGAATTACGGTAAAAAAATAACTACGGTGAGTTTGGAAAGCAGAAATAGTGCATCATATTTCTCACCTTCAGATATTTTTGTTTTAACTCTTTTTTTCATGTTTATTTTTGACAGAGAGAGACAGAGCATGGGGGGGGGGGGGGGGGGGGGGGGCGGGGCCCAGAGAGAGGGAGACACAGAATCTGAAACAGGTTCCAGGCTCTGAGCTGTCAGCACAAAGCCCGACGCGGGGCTCGAACCCACAGACTGTGAGATCATGACCTGAGCCGAAGTCGGATGCTCAACCGACTGAGCCACCCAGGCGCCCCAACCTTAGGATATTTTTAAGTTTCTAGAATTAATATAACAAAGCATGTTTCTAATAACAAGGCTCAGCTCTCCCTTATTCTGAAAGACTGACCTCCTAACCCTCTCAGCATCTTCGTATGTTTAGTATCTTTGGCACTTGTAAATATCAAAGGAAGTCAAGCTCAATTCTATCAGTCCTTCAAATGATATTTTCCAACCCCTTGGACACAATTATTAAAGAAAATTTTATAGCAGTGGAGGCCAGTTTAATGTTTTTTGACAGTGAGATTCACAAGTGTTTCATAAGTAAAACCACAACGTGGGCAAATAATCTGCCTGAAATGTTTGCTTATCAGCTACAGAATAAAACAGGCAAATAAATGGCAGGAGAGTTCTTCAAGGGCTGGGTAAGGTAAGAGCCCTGGAGTCATGAAAATGGCTGGCTACAAAGACATGTAAATAAATGGAAGGGTAGGTTACCAGGCTTGGCTTTGCATGTGTCAGCCTCATCTAGTGAAAGACCCCCTCTTATTCACTGCAATATATTATGGAGAAGCAGCATGGCCCAAAAGTCATAGACAACAGCTCCGGGTTCGAATGCTGGCTCTGACATTTACCAGCTATCTGACCTCAGGTAAGTTGTTAAGCTATCTGTGCCTCCGTGTTCTCATCCTAAAATGGGGCAAACATGATACCTACCCATACAGCGGACATTCACGGGGCTGAGGGTTAAAATACTTAACATTTATAAATGATTAATATTTATAAAATACTTAATATTTATAAAGCACCTAGCGCAAAGGCTGGCGCATGGTAAGCACTATGAAAGGGTTCATTAAGTGAATCCCTCACCAAACATCTTGAAACACTGTTGCCTTCAAAACTCCAATTGTGTTTAGAACGCATACACTTGGTTCAAAATGCAAGAGACCCACAAACATGCAGCTTTCAGGCATTTACTTTGTAAGCTGGGACTTTAATGTCGTCCTCTCTCTTACGCAGTCTGTTATCTGTATCTGCAGGTTTATAAAACAAAGCTCTTCAGATGGCTTTCTGTGTTTTCAACGTTTCACGTTCTTGTTTGTTTAAAACAGGGCCCGGAGATACATCTTATATTTGAAAATCAAAGTGGGCTTTAAAAGTCAACTTACATTAAAATTCTGTCCTTTGAATTTAAGACCTAAATGTAGGGTTGTGGTTGGTAAACTGGTTCTTTCAACAAAACATTGTCAGCTGAAAACAAGGAAACGATGTCAGCAAGTGACAGCTTTAATTACCAGCTTTTTCAGCCACCACCACTTTGCTTGGCACTTTTGCTATTTATAAAAATAAAAGGTTCAGATGTGGTGTGGCACGGAGCTCCACGACAACGGGGAGGTACAGGGGGAGAGAGGGAGGGGCCAGCTCACGCCCCAGCTGTCTTCTGTGGGATTTGAGTCAAGGCGTGACTCTTACAACGTGGGCATCTATCAGCAGGAACAGGGCTGGGGCGGCTGGGGGAGGCTGGGGTGGGCAGAGTAGCTGGGGAAGAGTCTCTGACACGGTAGGAAAGACCATGAACTCAAGCCCTTTCACCTTCCATTTGTGTATTTCTACTTACAGAGTCAAACACCCAGGTAACTACAGCAATGCAAGAACACAGTACCAATGCAATACAAAATCGCTATTTACACATCAGGAACTACAGTACAAGTAGTTTGGCCAGTTTTTTTTTTTTTTTTTTAACTTGAGGAAATAAAGCCTTAACCTTTGTGAAGGCAGGGTCTGAATCTGTGCTCGTCATGGTAGGAGTCCCGGGGCCTCAGTGATCATTGATTGAATTACTCAACTAATTTGACGAATTTCCTAATTACGTTCTCTTACAAATGATGCTGCTGGAATTAGCACGGCTGTAGGCATCAGGGCATCATTCCACTGTGCTGTTTCCTTTTTGACGGTAATAGTTTTCATAATGGAGTAGCTGTGGCCAGGATACTCTCACTCTGAATTTCAAATATTATAAATGCCACCCTGTAAAGCAGAAACTGTGGAATGCCATTTTATAAAGCAAGTGCTTTGTGTTTGTACATTTCTTAACAAACCCGATTTTACTGAGCAAGAGAAGGAACGACATGAGACTGATATTCCTATCAGGAATGTCGGTGTTTGAGCCACCAACTTTTACTTTTCTTCCTTTTTATTCTTCTCCTATCACCCCCAGGTCATCCCTCCCTCCTTCCTGCTTTACTGGACATACAGCAACAAACCTAATAAAGTCTCTGCCTCTGCAGAGCAGACTATGCAACCCGATAGTTAAATGATAGGTTTTAATTACTGACACAGGGAAAACAAAATAAGCAGAGGGGTTGGGGCGCCTGGGTGGCTCAGTCGATGAAGCATCCGACTTCAGCTTAGGTCATGATCTCACCGTCCGTGGGTTCGAGCCCGCATCGAGCTCTGTGCTGACAGCTCAGAGCCTGGAGCCTGCTTCGGATTCTGTGTCTGCCTTTCTCTCTGCCCCTCCCCTGCTCACGCTCTCTTTCTCTCTCTCAAAAATAAATAAACATTAAAAAAAATTTTTTTAAATAAGTAGAGGGATAGAAAGTGACTGGGTGTGGGGGCAGGTGGGTGGGTGTGGGAGGCGCCTTTGATTATAGAGGTCAAGGAAGGTCTCTGATGGCAACTGATTAAGATCTGAATAAAGAGAAGAAGCCAGCTATGGAAGGGACTTCAAGGAAGAATATTCCAGATAGTGGGCGCTTGTACAAAGAAACTAGTAAGCTCTAATTTCTCTGCTTCTGCAAACCCAGCCCTAATTTTCTTATAACGCAGCATGTAATAGTGTTCTCACAACCCCAGTGCCTAGCACAAGGCCTGCCGAGAACAAGCATTTAACAAAGGAGCAATGGCTATGTACAACCTCTGTGAACCATCCTGTGCTATCACGCTCTAAACTGTCGATCACAGCCGCCTATGACCTGAGATGCAAAGAGAAGATTCTAGAAATCACAGAAAGGAGCCACCAGCAACCAAATGGGACATCTGTTCCTCGTGCCACTTAAATAATCTTTCATTTCTCACGTAACTTTGGCCTTGACAACTTGGCAACTCACCGTGCCCAGTGTACTCAAAAGAATCTGCTTCATCAGGGGTATCAAGTTCATCCACATTGATATCGATTTCATCTGGGCTGTCCAGGTTATCATCAGAGAGAATAGACCCTTCACTTTGTTGGTCCAGAGAAAGATTGATATTCGGGGCCGTGAGTTTGATCCTGCGAGGAGGAGTGTCGTTAAGATCCAGAGAATTGGGAGGTTCTAAAGAGGAAAAAAAATAGCAACATTAAGTACTAAACTGTACACGCGGCTGCCAACAGTGGGTGTGGGCCCCAGTGAAAAACATTTTTAAGGCCCTTAAGCAAAGGCACACCTGCTAAAAATCCTTATATGCCATTTGGATCCCTTTCTTGACCAGCGGGCCTCAGGACTGGGCTTATCCCAGCCACATCAGCCCTGGCCACATAAACATAAAAAGTGGGAGCCAGTTTTCAGAACTACCCTGTTCAGGTGGAAGAACCTGACACTGATGTAACGTTGGACTGAATTTTTATGATGCATAAGAAAAACAGCTAAGCTTACATAGATCTCATAATGGTTCGTATAGACATCACTCCTATGGAATGAAGGCTATGAACTTTACTTATCCATCTATTATGTTCATAGTTACTCCTCAAATACTTCTCTTCAGTTCCTGACAACTCTGGGTATGATCTGTAGTCAGCTTGGTATACCTCTCAATTCTAGAATTCTTTTTTTTTTTTCAACGTTTTTTATTTATTTTTGGGACAGAGAGAAACAGAGCATGAACGGGGGAGGGGCAGAGAGAGAGGGAGACACAGCATCGGAAACAGGCTCCAGGCTCCGAGCCATCAGCCCAGAGCCTGACGCGGGGCTCGAACTCACGGACCGCGAGATCGTGACCTGGCTGAAGTCGGACGCTTAACCGACTGCGCCACCCAGGCGCCCCTCAATTCTAGAATTCTAACTCGGCTCTTGTCCTAAGGGAGGTGACACTGTTTCTTTTTCATTAAATTTTTTCCTCTGTATAGACCATCACCCAAACTGTGTTCCATGTAATATTTTTATGTATTATACTTGAAGAAAGCTTCTATTGGCCGATAAGTTTGAAAAACACTGGGTTTCTGTATTATAGGAATTCTCCAAGCAGTGTTGTCCAAAAGAATGTCTTGTGATGAGGGGTTCCATGTAGCTATTGAGCACCTGAAATGAATCCAGTGCAACTGGAGAACTGAACTTTCCACATTTATCTTAAGTTTTCATTAATTTAAATAGCCACATGTAGCTAACTGCTACCATATAGGACAACCATAGCCTTAATGCCTGTGTTATTCAAAGTGCATTGTGAACCTTCAAGAGCGGTGTAGACATACGGTGGCTATTAGGCTTATTTGACCATAGACAGAACATTTAAAAATAATTATGTCACATGACTAGTATCTTGAAAAATGCCCTATTAAATACTTGGACAGAAAAAAAAAATGACTTGCTTTTTTCTTGTTCCATTCCAGGCTTGGCCGATAACATCAGGGCTCAGGATCTTGGTACGATCCTGGAGCTGGTACGGTGCAAAGGGTGACCTCAGTACGAAGCGTGAGTAGAAGGCAACTGGAAATTTAAAATTCTCTTTGGATATGCCGTGAGCTATACACCTGTGGTGTGTAAGGGCTTTGTTTGTCTGTTTCAGCACTCAGGATACCGAGCTTCCTTGACATCACATTTTTAATTGTACACATTCTGACTGTCAAGTACAAATATGGTGAGCCTAGGTGCGAGCTAGGATTTGGTATGATGATATAGGGTGGCTACTTATCCCAGGAACTGAAAACACTGGCAGTTCCAGCTGTGGCCCAGGAGGGAAAAGGCGGCCCCCACGAGGCAGCATCGGTATTCACGTCAACCCTGAAATTAACCAAATCGAGCCTACCACCCTCCTCACACATTTTTTTTTTTTCTCTCTCTCCCTTCACTTTTATCACGAAAATCACAAGTTGGATGCCTAGGGAATGGTTCTCTCACTGAATATGACAGTGTTGGGATACAGAACACCCCTGAAGGAAATGAAGAAATGCTCCTCTCACCAGGCCTCATGTCTGCAGCACTGGGACTCAGCATTCCGTCCTCCAGGGGGACATCCATGCCTACATCCTCTGACAGCAGTCTGAAAAAGAGCAAAGCAGAGCGTGTAAACAATCGTATGGGATTTATCTTTCCCTGAAAGGACAGCCCAGAGATCCCAGGATAACATTTTCACCTCCCTTGGAATCACCTCAGTATGTGCGCCAGGGCTAGTGTAAGTGGCCCCATTGAGAATTAAGACTTTCTGCGACTAAGACCCATGGAGACCAGTTTTATTCTGTGCACATAATAAGCCATTTCTCTTACCAACTCGTGTAAGTAAGCACACACCACAGGAGGAAAAAAAAAATCAGAAACAGGAAAAGCAAATAACTAATAAAATATACTTCAGGTGGGCATTTCATAGGTTCTCAACAACAGAGGCAACATCCGTGCTTTGGAGTCAAGACAGGCCCGACTTCGTACAGATCTCTTCCTGTGTGTAAATCTGAGCATATTCAATTGCTGTTGGGCAGAGAACGCACACTGCGCTGCTCTCTCTTTATCAGGACATTAGGGATATACCCCCTACCTCGTTGAGTTGCTGAAAAGTTAAGCAATCAATGCGAAGTGCCTAACGTTCCTGCGAAGGTACCAACTGATGTTATTTTCTATCCTTCTTTGACTATTTAAAGATTCA